GCCACGACGGTCACTGAGATCTTTCAAAAGTAGTCAATTACGGGGTAGAAGGGATGGGGCTACCCAGCAAAAAAGACCGCAGGGCAATCGGTCCAGCGGTTGCTGAGATATAAGCCTCTCAAAAGCGTTACTGGCCGGGCCGGGCCGGGCCGGGCCGGGCCGCTCATACTGAGATTTCTCCCTTATATTGAAAAGACTTCGCTTCGCTCGCTGCGCTCGCTCGCTCGTAATCAACTTTCGTACCAACCATCATACCGCGCAAGATAGGAAGAGAGAGAGGGGAGAGAGGAGGGAGCGAGAGCAGGAGAAAGGTTACTCATTTAAATGATCGTCATTTAAAAGATAAATGGTAAACAAGGACGGAATATCTAATAAATTTATATAAGTTGCACAATCTAACATGTTTTACAATGTACAAATTTTACACATTTTGCATATTTCATATTAAAGTTTTACATAGTATGTGCAACATCGCGCGCTCCCCTCGTTTTATTGCATACCTTCATGGTGAGTCGGGCTGAGCCGGAGCGCACACTGCAGCGAGGTTCGGCGGAGCACAGAGCACTGCGCAGTATGTTTTGGTCGTGTCCGGTCGGCGCCGTTTTATATCACCGATCATCACAGGTCTGTGTCTGCTGACCCTCCATTACGACAGCTCGGGCAGGAAACGGACCGGACGGCACGCCCGGCCGCGGAGTAGGCAGGAAAACTGCGACTGCCGGCCAGCCCCTCATCAGACGACCTGCGGACGGCAACTCCAAGGAATGCCACACCTGAAAACACGCGGTTGTTCCATTTTTGGGTGATACGAACAGAGATTTTGTGTAATAATTCACATCATCGTTAACATTGACTTGCACGAAGCGCGTTATTTTGAGCGTTTACGTGTGCGCGTGTACCTACGTGTGTGGATGACCGGTGTAAGTTTTTTTTATAAATTTAGTCCGAACCTTTTGATAGGAAGGATTCACAAGGACAGAACCACCGCTAAGCGAAGCTTGTTGCGGTGACCCTGCCCTCTACCCTCCGATCGCGCAATTCCAGTTCTATGGCAGAATTTAGAGTCCAAAAGTTAACGTGCGCACATAGCCGCGCACGACCGGTCCCCTCACTGACTTCGCCTGGCTACGGCTTGCCACGAACCGCAACCATCCCTGTCAGGAGGCCCATAAATGTCAAGCGCCCGTCGCGCTTCGAACCCGGACTGTTATAACCGGGAACGCGTGCTCTCACCACGCGGAGTCCAACGCTCTACCAACTGAGCTACGGGACCGGCTAAGTTGTATCGGCTAGGCTGTATCGCGCCACCTTGTCTGGGATGTTACGTGGTGTCTGTTTTAAGCACGCCTGCTGAACGAACAGGAACACCCTAATCCTACCCAACTCCACTTAACACAAGTCACAACCAATATTCACCTGAACCGTAACCCAAATGTTGATTTTTGCAGGGGTGCCAGAAGGCAAACTCGTGCTTGAAAAAAGAACGAGAGTAGAGATTTACGATTCAGGGGTCTGTCTCTTGCTTCCGATCAGTGCTCGTCACGGGCCGCGAAATCCCAGTCTAGCCCAGTCCAGCCCAGGCCCATGGCTTATCAGCCCAGCCCAGACCGAACCCGAGCTGCCTTTAACCCTCGCCCTGGCAGGGGGGGTCGATGCGACCCCCACCCTAAGGTTTTTCGAAGATAGCGTAAAAACGGCGGCGCGCAGCGCCGCCAAATTTGGCACAGCCTATGGGGCAACCTTTTTACATATGACCTGAAAATTTCAGGTCCGGGTGACCTTGGGTCAGGTCACCAGGTCAGAAAAACCGGTACAAGGTCATGGTCAAATTTCAATTTTCTTTTTGCACCTGTCCAACTCACATTTTTTGACTGATTTCCTTCAAACTTTCAGGATGTGCTAAGTTCACCGAGTTGTATAACATATAGTCCGGCTTTTTTGAGGTCACTGACCTGAGGTCAGTTAGAGGTCATTACGTCGTAATGTTAAGCCTATGGGAAAATACTAAATTCGGAAAATACTGGAGATATTCGCTTCGTTCTATCACTTTTGTGCTTTGAAACCACGGTACTTAGCAGCAGGTCACTTGGTGCTTCTTTGTTTGGTGTACTTATCCATGGGTCAGGTCAAATGAGGTCAACTGAGGTCAAATGACGTTTTTGCCAATAACTTGGCACATAATGAAGCTAGAGCTTAAAAAATGGTATCATTGTGTTCCTGGTGATCAGCCGAATCGAATGATATGCGATATGATGCAATTTGGTTAACTTGAACTTAATTTATTAATTTAAGTTTACTTAAAATTTAAGAAAAACTTTAAGTACACTTAAGCAAGCTAAAATGTATATCATTCGACGCGCCTTGACGTGCTGAGTTCACTGGTGCTTTTCTTTTTGCTCTATCTTAATTAGATCAAAAGTTATAAGCGAAAAACTTTTGACCTGTTTTTAGCGAATTTTTTACATTTATACCCCCCAAAACCCCCCTAAATATTGACCTAGAGCAACCAAATTTGCACAGGGGCGAGAACTCCAGGGGGCCCACCTACCTACCAAATTTGGTGTTTCTAGGTGCCATAGGAGCCAATCGCGAGGGGGGGTCGCATCGACCCCCCCCCCCCTGCCAGGCCGTGTTATGAAAAATGCCCTGCCAGGGCGAGGGTTAACGCGACCGTCTCCTTACCCCTGAGCCATAGCCTACGCTGCACACTGCGCGGAAGGATGCAGGCGTTCAGGCGGTAGTTACGTATTTCCGCTCAGGGAGACGCCGCTTCCGTGATCGTCACAAACAAGCCCATTAACTGTACACTCTTATTGTAATGACTAACTTTGTTATCATGCTTTGCATGCTGGAAGTCCGCTTACAAAGTTGAGAACGGGAGTTGATTCACCATGGTTGCCTGTTTGTGGCTTAACCCGGCGGCCGCTGGGCCTTCGCGCCACCCGCCGGCCGCTGGGGGCAGGGGAATATATGTAGTTGCCCATCCCCCCCCCTTTACTTCTGCGACGATATCGTCGCAACGCGAAGAGATAGAGAAGCGAAACTTTGCACACTTCTTCCTGAATACCTAGCCGAGGTTCAAAATTTGGTGTCGATCCCATTTGAAATGACGTCACAGTGACATAAGAAGTCAAATTATAGATTTGCGACTCTCAGTTTCGTCACGATATATCAGACATATGAGACCGAACATAAAGGACCGATTGGTCAGGAACTAGTTGAAAGTGTACTTAGATGTTTTAGGACGACAGCAGGTGCTGTCCGGTTCATTTACAGTTGAGTTTCATGCTCACTGCTCAGCGACATCAGAAACGGTCCATATCCGGTAAACGACAAAACTTTATGACGTCACTGTGACGTCATCTTAATAGCTACAACCATTAACTTTTCTCAAACATTGCTTAGGTATTCATTTGAAGATATGCCAAGTTTCACGTTCGTAGCTCATTAGATTTTGGAGATATTCCACAAAACGTATAGGGTGGCAACTTAACCCTCGCCCTGGCAGGGCATTTTTCATAACACGACCTGGCAGGGGGGGTCAATGCGACCCCCCCCCCCTCGCGATTGGCTCCTATGGCAGGTCTAGAAACACCAAATTTGGTAGGTAGGTGGGCCCCCTGGAATTCTCACCCCTGTGCAAATTTGGTTGCTCTAGGTCAATATTTAGGGGGGTTTTGGGGGGGTATAAATGTAAAAATTTCGCTAAAAACAGGTCAAAAGTTTTTCGCTTATAACTTTTGATCTAATTAAGATAGAGAAAAAAATATAAGCACCAGTGAACTCAGCACGTCAAGGCGCGTCGAATGATATACTTTTTAGCTTGCTTGAGTGTACTTAAAGTTTTTCTTAAATTTTAGGCAAACTTAAATTAATAAATTAAGTTCAAGTTAACCAAATCGCATCATATCGCACATCATTCGATTCGGCAGATCACCAGGAACACAATGGTACCATTTTTTAAGCTCTAGCGTTATTATGTACCAAGTTATTGGCAAAAACGTCATTTGACCTCAGTTGACCTCATTTGACCTGACCCATGGATAAGTACACCAAACAAAGAAGCACCAAGTGACCCGCTGTTAAGTACCGTGGTTTCAAAGCACAAAAGTGATAGAACGAAGCGGATATCTCCAGTATTTTCCGAATTTAGTATTTTCCCATAGGCTTAACATTACGACGTAATTACCTCTAACTGACCTCAGGTCAGTGACCTCAAAAAAAGCCGGACTATGTGTTATACAACTCGGTGAACTTAGCACATCCTGAAAGTTTGAAGGAAATCAGTCGAAAACTGTGAGTTGGACAGGTGCAAAAAGAAAATTGAAATTTGACCATGACCTTGTACCGGTTTTTCTGACCTGGTGACCTGACCCAAGGTCACCTGGACCTAAAATTTTCAGGCCATATGTAAAAAGGTTGCCCCATAGGCTGTGCCAAATTTAGCGGCGCTGCGCGCCGCCGTTTTTACGCTATCTTCGAAAAACCTTAGGGGGGTCGCATCGACCCCCCCCCTGCCAGGGCGAGGGTTAATGCCCCCCCCCCAGCGGCTCGTGGGTTAATTTTAGCGTGAACCGTAAAGACACGCTATACCTACTTTGTGATTTAATGTATGGTAAGTTAAATCTTACATGGGTTTTAATAAGTTATAATTATAAATAGCTAATAATCATTAAATAGTTGTTTGTCATGCCAAATGGCTGTTTCAATATTTTCCCATAAAATTATAAGCGATACGAAGCTCACGTCACCAGCCTGACTTGATGAATGATGGCCCTTGTGTGAAACGTAACTTATGCTTTATTCTAGGTAGTGGACTAGGTAGTGGACATATGCTTAATTTTTAACGTAATTTTTGTAGTTTTGCCTGACACATTTGCAAGGCCCTATAACAACGGTGAACGATGAAAGGTCATTAACCTGTGATACAATGCGCCATTTGTGCCCTCCTTTCATAAGATGCCATGCATGCAAGTTTCGTAAATGTTTTCGAGGACTTTGGCTTCACCGATGGACTTTATATTTAAATCCATGCATGCTCGACGTCATGTTAATGCGAAAGTAATTAACGATTCATATAAAGGGCTGACTATGGTTGGCTCACAATCACGTGTAAAAGACACTCGCCCAAGGGTTTGGGGGTGGTTTGGGGTCGGCTACCGAAGTTCTTTGAAGTGAATGCCACGTGAGCTCTTATTTTTTCAAATTGACTGAGGTCATTCTTACAATCATTCGAAGCCGAGGATAAGTTAGTAAGCATGAGTATACGATAAAAATAAGATCGACTTTGCCTAGCTCGGCTCAGCTTGCTGGTTTCAGAGATTGTGAGCATGTCATAGGAGGATAACAAGTATATCCAACGCTCCATTCAGTATGTCATTCAAGAGGTTTCATGCAGCGAGGTCAAGTGTCTTTGTGCTGGTTGTGTTTTTAATTATTTTAGACAATCAGCCTGTTATAAGCCACCTCAATATACCTTCGAGCGACGCTGAAATCTTTGAAACACAAGCTAAGCAAGCTAAAAAGGCGAATGTAAGAGCAAAACGATTTGTACTCGACAACGCTGACGAAACAAACGACAACAGTGGAGACGACAATGATCAGCTCAATAGTGTTAACAAAATTGAAGAAGCATCCGATGACTACTTTGCTAGCAATATCAAGCCTGTGCAGACCACAACCGATAGCATAAACCCGCTGTTTTCAAGTACAAACACGCCAGGAGCAACAAAGAGCGGACTAGAAACAGATGGTGAGTGATTAAGCTTTACTTAAGTTCCTCTGAGCTATAACCTTGTAGTTTAAAAAATATCTTTTGCATGCGCGAGTTGCTCATGCTTTAATCATCGCTTATTATGGTAAAATGTGTTACCTGATGTACATGTGTTACCCTCGTTTCTGAACGAACTAAGCGGAACGAGGGATTTATAACGCATTTGAGTGTTTTCCCTCGGCCCATTTTCTAAAGGCCTGGCTACACTATGTGTTTTCTGCGTGCGTTTTTTTTGCGAGTTTGCGTGATTTGCGGAATATCGTTCTAGAAAGAAACGACATTACGTTTTTGTTATATGTTTTTCATATACACTTTTAATTAACATAAACGTTTTATTAACTTTTATATAAATATTAAAGAAGTTAAAAAAATGATAACCATTTTTCTAGAACGATATTACGCAAAACACGCAAACTCGCAAAAAAACGCACGCAGAAAACGCATGGTGTAGCCGGGCCTTAAGAATTAAGAATTAAATGTAACTATTAACCCGCGCCGTGCTGGGGGCGTTTTCACGCCCGGAGCTCATATTTTCAGCGAATGTTCAAAAACGGTGGCGCGTTTTTGGTACATTCTTGTTCATACATCTTTTCCGCTTAAATAATAAAATTTTCAGACCCCGGTTGTCAAGGTCAAGTCACCAGGTCACCTCAAGTGACATTACCTCAGAAAAAGTTCAAAGACTCGCTATCGATTTGAAACTTCCAGTGATTGATAAAGAGTAAGAGTAGGTATGTATAAAATATATATTTCGGAATTTCCATAGCTGAATCGGAAAAGTGCATCGGTGACCTCACCCCTCTGTGTGCCCCTGAAGTCATCTCAGGTCATGAAAGGTCACTAGCTTTTTATTATAACCTTTTCACTGTTTTTGTTTACATTTTGATAGAGACGTGTTAGTGCGATGAAAACACGTCGAATGTGTTCAGCTCGACAATACGGATCGATTGATATGCAGCATGACCCTTTCCAGTCAGGTCATGACCTTGATCTGAGTTCAGATTTTCAAAATGACCTTTCAAGGTGAACTTATAGCTCATAAGACGCGTCTCGACGAGAGAGACACAGTGCTGGCAAAATATATGTCATAGCTCTCTTGAGTCAAAAGTTGCTACCGAAAAACTTTTCGTAAAAACGGCTATTTTTAGAGTTTTTGCCCTCTGGAGGCTAAACATAAGGTCAAACCTGAGAATTATATTCAGAAAGGCTTGGAGCTATCGAATGCGCTTTTCGGCGGCGCTGTAGCTCTATTATTTTCAAGTTATGCATCGGGAATTTCGAAAATTGTTGAAATAATAAAAGTTGACCTTTGATGACCTCTGGTGACCTGACCTTTGACTTGAACTAAAAAATGACTGATGTATTTCCATAATTATTTTTGACTCTCTTACGAATGTCGCTTACCACGTGTCGCTACGGGGCCCAGGAGCCGTGTTAGACGGGGGGCGTGAAAACGCCCTCCTCCCCCTCCCCCCAGCACGACACGGAAAGCTCAGACCACCAGCACGGCGCGGGTTAACCCGCGCCCCGCTGGGGGGGGGGCAGAATCTGCCCCCCCCTCCCGTTTTTCGCCAATAACTTCTAAACGCGTTACGCCAGCGACGTCAAACTTTCAGTACCTTATCATACATCAATTTGACACGTTCCCTGAAAATTTGAGCAAAATCCGTCGGAAAATTTTTGAGAAATTGACGTTTTAGTGACGTCATGTTCGCCATTTTCGCCTAAAAAACGGCAAAATTTCAAACGCCGCTAACTTCTTCATTTTTAAAGGAATCAAGACGTAACAAAAAAAGTTATACGTGATTCTACTTTGTCTATCAAATGGCTATCTCGGTTTTTTGAAAATTTTGGATTTTGGCCAAAATTTGTCCAAAAAACTGACTTTTTTGGGAAAATATTTATAAAATCCAAAATTTTGAGTTTATCGAAAAAACCGGAATATATGTCAAAGAAGTGGTCTATGTGCACCTACATACCAATTTTGAGAAGAATCCGTTCAAAAATGTGGGAGTTATTCAAAATTTTATGACGTCACGACACACAAAAATTTGGAAAAATGATTTTTTTGGAAGTTCTAGACCTCGTACGGAAATAAAAATAGCACCATTCGATTCGCCGTGAAAAACTGCATCGGATAGACACCTTTTTAGGCCTTAACAACCAACTTCAAAATTTGACCTCACTTGACCTGACCTTGACCTGACCTCGACCTGAAATTCATCCAGAGGTGGTCCATATCACTTATTGAGTGTGCCTATTGAATTCCATGAGTAAAATGACCCATAAAACATGTGTCGCACATGCCCTTTTCAATATTTTGTTTTTGGTGACCTGACCTGACCTGACCTGACCTTGACCTTGACCTTTGAATGACATTGTGTGCAACGAATATTGTCTTGGTAGTCTAAGAACACGTTTTGGGCAATCAGTCTCAGTCCATTCTTCGGCAACTACGGTGCAAGGCCGATACTGTAGAAACTTGCATTTTGTACCCTTGACCTGACCTTGACCTGACCTCTGACCTACTTAAGCAAAAAAAATTGGGCTCTTAAGATCCGCCTTGTTGAGAGCTTTCGATTGCCGTTTTTCCCGTCTTTCTACGACCATCGGTTCGGAAGTTAGACAGGGGGGGCAGAATCTGCCCCCCCCCCCCCAGCAGGGCGCGTATGGCTGAATAGCCCAGCGGGGCGCGGGTTAAGTGTTTGTTGTGCTCTAAACTCACAAATTATGTTAACCCGCGCACCGACGGGGAACCGCGCCAGCTTACAGAGTGTCCGGAAATTATGTGCCCGTCCATCAGCTCGCCGCCATAATTAACCCTCGCCCGTATTGGTGTTTCGGCGGGGGGTCCCCCTTGCCGTATCGCCCCGGATCGAGCTAGAGCTTTGCGAAAAAACGAGCGTGTTGCCCGTCACGAGATGAAACCGATGATACCCAAGTTTAAGACCATTGGTTGACCTTCCAGGTTAGGTCAATGACCCAAAAGTCGGGAAAATCGGGACCTGTTAGAACGTCGTGAAGTGTGGCCGCTATAGGGCTTTTTTCGGGGTGCTGGTCATGAACATCATGTTAGTTTTGATCACAGATTATGTCTTCATGCATTTAGGCTAGGTCGGGTCAGGTCAGATCAGGTCATCCAGTAGGGGTCCTGCCGGGTATTCGTAGTAGGTGTCAACCGCCTCTGACAGCTTCGTAACATGTTACAAAGGCACCAAAACAACTTCGTAAATGTTCATATGGTTGCTAAATTCGAATTCAGCTCCAAAACTGGCCTAGAAACACGTAAAACTCGAAACGAGGTCATCAAAGGTCAATGACCTGACCTGACCTCCAGGTGACCTTGACACCCACCCTAATGCATGGGGGCAACTTCATATCACATGTTTGAACGCTTGAAACCACGAAAAGGCTGCAAAAGCGCGGCTAATGCGAGCCGACATACGCCGAATCGCGATTCCGGCCAAACATGGTCTCGAGAAGCAGGTCTCAGGTCAAAGGTCATTTGGGTCAGGGTCATGAAATTTTTGAGTAGGTGTAAAATTGATCAACTCGAGGGTACTGAAAGTTTCGTCGCCCCCGGGTCATGGTTTATTTACCGATTTATCCCCTGCCCTGTCCTACCCATTCCATCATTCGCATTGGCATTCCATAGATCAAGATGTCCAGAGTATCCGCACTGATGTCCAGCCACACCTTTCACAGGTTCCTCTAAAGTCCGTTCCTTTGGTGACCTTTGATGACGTCACATGACCTTACAGTTGCCCAAGAGCAAAAAGGCCTCAAGCTAGTCAAGGTTGATCGTATATGAAGTCATCCATGGTATATTAGGCCCCTCCGACGCGTTTTAGTGAAGAAAAAAATCAGGCAGTTGAGATTTCCCCTATTGACTTATAATGAGGAGGTCAAGAAATTGACCTGACCTTAGGTCATCGATATCAAAATTCGGAGATATAAAATTGTACCTACCAATGACCTCATTACATCCTGCAACTTTCAAAGGACTCCGTCATCTACTGTAGCTCTGACACGGTGACAAAGTTGCAAAAAAGTGATTTGAGTCGGGTCATTCCAAGTGACCTGGTGACTTGACCTTGAAAGGAAGAAGGTTCAAGCGTGCACATAATGTTTAAAATTGATGGATGCGCCGCGGTTTTTCCGCGATTATTGAAAAAACATCAGTGGGATGGATATCTCTCCTCCCCCGTCGGTGCGCGGGTTAAATCGAGGTCGTGATCTTACTGGAATGCAAATTTGAAGCTTCATGAACCTACCATTGTATTCACCTTATCCTTTTATCTTTTTTCTTTCAGCCAAAGATTGTTGTGCGTTTTTGCGGATGGGCCATTTCGACGACTTCGAACTGTGTTTGGGTGAGCGCTGCTTGTCACCGAGCACGTGTGATGGACCAGAGATTCTGGAAAGTAAGTGGATCTAGACTTCAGGAATTCAAATTATGGTAAGTGATGCGCTGCACTGTTTTATGTATGTACAAATGGCCACACCCGAAAACCAAGGATGAATCGATGAAGTCTTCGTTTTCATGAAGGTCACGATCACACGAAAAGCCTTTTTTCACTTGCAAGATGTGACCTAATAAACGAATTACGTTGCTTTAGATTTAAAACCTGCACTTTTATATGTTGATCAACCTAATGATTGATTTTTTTGCGAAGAACAATATTTTGGCATGACTCGTTTTCATAAGAAAGTTGTATTCGCTTTCGTTTTTCATTACATGGGTTTCTAGCAGTGTTCGCCATGGGCCGGGCCAGCCCAGTGGGCCATGGGCTGAGCTGGGCTACGGGCTGGGCTGGGCCCTCAAATATGAAGGTTCGATGGGCTGTGGATGGGCTGGGCCAAGAACTGTTAAGTGGAGTCAGAGGTTCGCAACTGAGACAAAAATTATAACTACATTGCTTATTACAGTGCAAGACTCAAAAACGAGTTAATAAAGCACGCATGCAATGTGCATTGTGCATGCTGCTCTCAAAAGCTTGTTTCTTTGCTACCTTTGGATACCTTTGATGTGTCAATAATGTTTAATCCATTCATATTTGACGGGCTGGGCCGGGCTGGGCTTTGACACTTTTATCATGAATGTGCTCGGGCTGGGCCGGGCTGTGAACCCATGGGCCTGGGCTGGGCTGGACTGGGATTTTGCGGCCCGTGGCGAACACTGGTTTCTAGGACTCCTCGTAAGACCTTTTAGTTTAAAAGACGATGCTATTAGGAGATAACTATTGCACTGCGTGTGAACTAAAGCCCAAGTAAGCACTGCGCTTAGGCACGAAGTTTTACGTCCCTATCTTTTCATGCATTTTCACACGTGATACCAACCGACGTATGACGGGCCCAAACTGAATGAAATGGCAGCTGACCAAATGTGTGCCTGTTCTCGCCACGTTATTTGCTTAATTATGGAAAATCAAAATTTTGGACTCAAATAACCCTTGCATCCCAGAGATGTTAAATGAGACTGATAAGGAACAGCGAGTGGTATCTGACAAGTTTTCCTTTCCCACAGATTGTTTCTTCAGTGGAAAGTATTATCCTGTCAATTCTACCATGCATGTAGACGAAGCAAAATGCTTTGTCGTAAAGTGCGTCAAGAACAACGGAAAAGAACCGCCTTCAGCGCATATCAACGACTTTGGGACCAACTGTGAGCATGAAATTACTGCCCTCTCCGAGCTCAGCGCATTGTTTGATGCAAATGTGTCTAATCTAGTCTGGTTTGTAAGTGACTAAGGTCCCGACAATGCTTTTTTGCCCTCTACGTAAATATTTGCAAATGATAAGATGGTGTAAGCGTCACGAGTAGAAAAGGATGGGGAAGTTTTCCATTTCTGTAGATCTGAGTGGGAGTCTTAGCTATTCTAGAAAAACAAACCCTTACGGACGCAAGAAATCGATAGGCAGGCATCGCGAGTGCCCCGATGATGATTTACGCTTGATAAACAGAAGAGTCTCATTCGGTGCGAAACTAAGCGTCCCTTTGTCCGGTCATTTTTAATTATGGTATTATATCAAGGATAAGAATGTGTGCAACGAAGCGATTCCTACTTCGGCCAGAAGTACAGGCAAAATGTTAGTGCTCCGGAGCCAGCCGTTTCGCTGGTGCGAAGCGTCTATCTCAGCAACACACTGAGTAATTCGAACTAGACCAATATATGAAGCAAAACACGACGAATGCACGATGTAGAGTCTCATATACGACGAGGGTCCCGGGATGGTTTGCTGCGATATTACACGACGTGCTGATGTGTCAGCCCAATCGACCAGGGCCACGGACGTTGGTTATTGGGATGTGGTACGCAACCGTGCCCAGCCTGCCCGATACTCGTGTCATATACGATCCGTCGGAGCATGAAACAAGCTGCCAGGTCATGTCAGGAGCATTTCTCTTTTCAGTGAAGGTTAAATGGTGACTGATAGTTGCCCACACTGCGCAAATGGCAGTTAAAAAAAATATATAGCGGGCGACATAACAGGTTTGAGGTATATCATAACTGATTTTGTTCTAGTCAGATGCATCTAAACAAATTTAAGTTTTCCCACTAAAACACTGCCACGAAGGATAAATAATTTAGATCAGTCAACGTCAAAATCAATGGTAGGTTAACCCGCGCCCCACTGGGGGGCTATTTATAGCCCCCCTCCCGTTTTTCTGCAATAACTTCCAAACTGCTTGACGTATCGACGCCAAACTTTCAGTAGCTTAGGCTGCATCACTTTGACACCTTGTGTCAAAATTTGAACTTCGTAACTACTATAGGTCGGCCGGAAATGACGTCAGAGTGACGTCATGTTCGGCCGATTTCGACGCAAAACATTGAACCACGGCAATCGCTCCCAAGAGCTCAGTTTTTAAGCTAGATCCAATTTCTTTGCATGAGAGAACTCAGAATAGACTGCACTATCAAACTGCCATCTCGGATTTTCGAAATTTTGAAAATTTAATATAATAATATCCAAAATTTATATTTTTACTTTTTTTTAAGTTTTTGACTTTTCGAAAAAACCGGAATATATGTGATAGAACGCATTATTATGACTAACTCTAGCAAGTTTTAGCTAAATATCTTCAAAAATGGCCAAGTTTTACGCATTATTGCAAAAAATTCACAATTATTAATTTTTCAAATCAATTTTTCAGCACGTATTTGACATCGTACGCCAATATAAATAGCACCATCGTGTTCCTGAGCTCAAACTGCATCCAATAGACACCTTTTTTTGTTGAGAAATTTTAACTTCAAAATTTGACCTTTTTTGACCTGAAAGTGATCTGACCTAAGCTAAATTCGACTCAAAATGACCTCGGATGACATAGGCGACATCAAATTCGAACTCTCTGGCCTAAATGGACCATAAAACATGTGTCACGTGACCGACGCATGATATAATATTTTCGTGACCTGTGATGACCTGACCTTGACCTGAAAATCAAAGTACAAGTTTGGTACCCTCAGGGTAACTAGAACATCTGTTCCCGAGTGTGTGATCCAAAAATGAGCCTGATCTGACTTAAGACGGCGGCCAGAGCCCAAAACGTGAACAAGCCAAAATGCTAATAATTTTTACTTTGACCTGACCTGTGACGTCATCGGTGACCTCGAGGTCAATGAAATTAGTTTTCGCTCGACAGTTTTTCTGGGGCTATCAGACGCCGTTTGAATTTTGACGATCGGCCCAGTAGTTTCGGAGTTAGGAGGGGGGGGCTATGAATAGCCCCCCCAGTAGGGCGTGTTATACGCAGACCCCAGTGGGGCGCGGGTTAACAAAAGATATTGCATGCATTTCAGGTTGTGTCCGGGATGGCCAACTGTATCAAGATGGAGCACAGTCAGGGCATCAGACGTGCCAAAAGGGAAATTGGTCAGAGGAAGTCACTGCTCCAACAACTACGGCGTGGACCACAGTCTCCGTCACCCCAGAAAACGCGACACTACCGACAGAGACAGCGACTTCCGCAGCAACGCTGGAAATTGGAACCAGTCCCTCTTTATTTACTAATGCGACCAGCGAACAGCCAGAAATGCAGCTACATACAACAATGGCTACCAATGTTTCAGAGCAAGAGGCTTCTACGTCTGCCAGACCTGGGGAGGAAATGGAGACAACTGAAACAACGCAACGTATCACAGAAAGGCAAACAACATTTTCGAGGGTCGAAGAAACGCCCCCACCAACTGCAGTGCCAACTTCTGAAATTTTGCCTTCGACGCTGGCTGTAGCGAATCTGACCCATATGGACGAAGAAGGCCTAAACACTTCTGCGGCGGCAACCAGACCGTCTTACAATGCCACACAGCCAACGCCTGAAACAGCGTCAGCATCAACACCCTTTCAGATATTCAGAAGACGATCAGAAATAGTATCGGAAAACGCGACAAAGGATCCTGACCAGCGCAATGACACATTTCGTGTAACAAGCGAGATAAAACATACCACCGAAATGTCTACTTCCACCGGTCAAACAGATGAGGTCACAGAACCTCTTGGAACGCAGTCGCCCATTGACAGTAGTTTTTTATTAGATAACGGCACAGCTTTTCAACCTTTCAACGAAACTCATGAGTCAATGAAAAACGTTGGTAATATGTCTTCAATGGAAAGCCCTACGAGTGTTCCTAGTAATGTCACATATTCAACGACAGAAATTACTTCAATCGAAGAAACAAGTCGAACAACTATTGCAGGGGAAGCTGAGCGTTTTGAAACAACACTACCTTCAAGCACTTCAAGAACTGCGATAAAAACAGCTTCACCTTCGTTAACAGTTACTCATAGTATTGAAGAAAACACAACAGAGATGATTACTTCTAATGCAACTTCAACTACTCGTGCTATTGAAGAGTCACATGTGACAGGAACGCACGAAACAAACGTCACATCAGATGCACCAACATCATCCCGTAACCACACTTCTGCAGACATCACTGATCTGCACACAGCTGCATGGCTGACAAAACCCCAGACGACAAAAGAACCGGTAGATTTCACAACTGAAGTGACTGCAGACAGAAGTCATGCAACAACAAGCCCAACACACGCGGAGTCTGAAAAACCAACTGTCGCTGATATGGGTTCCGCGGCACCCGTCAGTTCTGCGACTCAGCCCGCCAAAGGGACAGATGCCTCCAACATTTCTGCTGCTGTTACTCACACTTCAATTGGCGTTACTGAGAGCACCACCAGCACTTTGGTCGGTGAAAGTCTCATATTAGCAACGAGCACTGCAACACCTGATCTACAGTATGCTAAAGAGGACCAAAATGGCTCCACACAAACCACCAAAGGGCTATATTTTATCATATCATCATCCACAGCATATGACACTCATACAGACACAACAGACACTACCCATACAGCCACAACATACACTGCACAAGCAGCCACAGAACACACTACACCTCCAGCCACAACAGACACTACACATGTACCCACAAAAGACACTACTCATGAAACAACAACAGGCACTAAACATGCACTCACAACAGACACTACACATGCAGTCACAAAAGATACCGCAAGTGCAGCTACAACAGAAACTACACATGCAGCCACAACTGACATAACACATGTACCCACAGCAGACACTACACATGCAGCCACAACAGACACTACCCATGAAGCAACGACAGACACTATACATATAGCAACAACACACACTACACATGCCGCAACAGCAGACACTACACATGCAGCCACAACTGACACTACGCATCCGGGAACTACACATGCTGCCACAAAAGACACTTCTGAAACAGCTGCAATAGACACTACACATGCAGTCACAACTGACACTACGCATACAGTCATAACTGACGCTACCCATGCAGGAACAACGGGCACTACCAATGCGACTGCAACATACACAACACATGCAGCAACAACAGACACTAAACATGTAGCTACAACTAACGGTGCTTATCCAGGTACTACACATGCAGCTACAACTGACACTACGAATCTAGATACTTCACATGCAGCTACAACTGACACTTCTTACCCAGATACTACGCATGCATCCATAACTGACACCACGCATCCAGATTCTACACACGCAGCCACAACAGACACTACGCATTCATACTCTACACATGCAGACACTACTAACGCAGCCACAACAGACACTACACATGCAGCCAGGGCAGACACTACTCATGCAGCAACAACATACATTACCAATGCAACTGAAACAGACGCTATATATACAGCCACAACTGACATTACGCATGTAACCACAACAGATACTACACATGTAGCAACAACAGACACTACCAATGCAAATACAACGGGCACTACACATGCAGCCACAATAGACACTACACATGCAGCCACAACTCACATTACACATGCAGCCACAACAGACACTGTCCATGCAGCAACAACAGACACTACTAATGCAACTGCAACAGACACCACACATGCAGCAGCAACAGACGCTACACATGCAGTCACGACAGACACTACACATTCACCCACAACTGACACTACTTATCCAGACACTATGCATGCAGCCACAACTGACACTACGAGTGTAGACACTACACTTGCAGCTACAACGGACACTACTTACCCAGATACTACGCATTCAGCCACAACTGACACCACGCATCCAGAAACTACGCATGCAGCTACAACTGACATAACGCGTTCAGACGCTACACACGCAGCCACAACAGACACTACCCAGGCAGCAACAACAGACACAACCCATACAGTCACAACAGACACTACACATGCAGCCACAACAGGCACTACACATGCATCCACAACAGGCACTACCCATGAAGCAACAAAAGAAACGACACATGCAGCTATAGCAGACACCACACATGCAGCTGCAACAGACTCTACACATGCAGCGACAGCCACAACCGACACTAAGCATCCAGACACTACACATGCGGCTGCAACAGACACTACACATGTAGCTGCAACAGGCACTACACATGCAGCTACAACTGACACTTCTTATACAAACACTACTCATATAGCTACAACAGACACTACACATGCAGCAGCGACATGCACTACAAATGCAACCGAAACAGATATTTCGCATGCAGCCACAACTGACATTACGCATGCAGCCACAACAGATACTACACATGTTGAAACAGCCGACACTACACATGTAGCAGCAACAGACACTATTAATGCAACTGCAACAGACACTACATATTCACCCACAACTGACACTACTTTTCCAGACACTATGCATGCAGCCACAACTGACACTACGGGTGTAGCCACTACACTTGCAGCTACAACGGACACTACTTACCCAGATACTACGCATTCAGCCACAACTGACACCACGCATTCAGAAACTACGCATGCAGCTTCAACTGACATAACGCGATCAGACACTTCACATGCAGCCACAACAAACACTACCCAGGCAGCAACAACAGACACTACCCATACAGTCACGACAGACACTACACATGCAGCCACAACAGGCACTACCCATGAAGCAACAACAGACGCTACCCATGCAGCAACAACAAACACCGCCCATACAGTCACAACAGACACTACGCATGCAGCCACAACAGACACTACACATGCAGCCACAACAGGCACTACCCATGAAGCAACAAAAGAAACTACACATGCATATATAGCAGACACCACGCATACAACTTATCCAGACACTACACATGCAGTCACAACTGACACTACGCATATAGACAGTAAACATGCAGCTACAACTGACACTTCTTATCCAGACACTACACATGCAGCCACAACAGACACTACACATGCAGCAACAGCTGACACTACCAATGCAACTGAAACAGACGCAACACATGTAGCTACAAGTGACGTTGCACATGTAGCCACAACAGATACTACACATCTGGCAACAATCGACACTACACATGCTGCCACAACAGACACTATGCATGCAGCTACAACAGACACTGGGTATGCAGCCGCAACAGACACTACACCGGCAGTCACAACGGACACTGAGCATTCAGACACTACACATGCAGCCACAACTGATACAACTTATCCAGACACTACACATGCAGTCACAACTGACACTGAGCATCCAGACACTACACATGCAGCTGCAACAGACACTACACATGTAGCTGCAACAGGCACTACACGTGCAGCTACAACTGACACTTCTTATACAAACACTACACATGCAGCTACAACAAACACTACACATGCAGCAGCAACATACACTACAAATGCAACCGAAACAGACATTTCGCATGCAGCCACAACTGACATTACGCATGCAGCCACAACAGATACTACACATGTTGGAACAACCGACACTACACATGTAGCAACTGTGGTATCGCGAATTGTCCCCCTCCGCCCGGGAGCTGGCGACGCCACTGGCGGCGCCGGCACGCAGACGCGGCGGCTCGAGAGAGTCGGTCTGGCGCGCGTGTCGGGTGCGGTCGTGAGCCGTGTGCGCGGTGTGCGGTGGTCGTCGCGTCGCGGTCAGCACAGACTAGTGTTCGTGTATGAGCCCAGATTGCCTCAGCAATAAACTTGTCTCCACGAGCCAGCCTGTGTGAGGCAGTGCGGAGTGGAGACGTAACACCTGGCGACGAGGAATTCGAACTCGTTGCGGAGGCCGTGGTTGGGCCGTGGGCGACTCCGAACGCTGTGCTGTGCAGTTGTGGACCGCGTGTAGACTGCGACGGAGCCGCGGAGACTGGTAAGCGGCAGTAAACTGCGTGTCCTGCGACTGACGGGGGCGTGGGCTTGTGTTGAGTCCCCCCTGTGTTCAGCGCTGTCCGAGTTTTTGGGCCTCGGCGGCCATTTTCGGACGGGTGCGCTGGTCGAGTGCGCAGGCGCGTGGTCACGTGTCTCGGTGACGTCGCGGTCACGTGACTCCCCCGGAGTGGAAAGCGCGGGAAACGCAGCGGCGGTGCCAGGGACGGGCGGCAGGGAGCCCGAGTCAGCTGTGTGCTGACTGCTGAGTGACCTTGGCCGGCGCCAGCTGACGGTTCAGTCGCGCGGCGGCGGCCGCGGCGTGAGGAGGCTCGAGGGGACCGCGAGTGGACGTCAACGGCGGACGGGATGGCGGCGGCTGGACTGAGTCTGCCGGCGGTGGCGCCGTACCAGCCGGGGACGGATTTTCCTCGATGGCTCAACAGCGTGGAGCTGTACATGGCGGCCCTGGACGTCACTGGGGACGAGAGGAAGACGGCGATTCTGTTGCACCTGCTCGGACCCGAAGTGCAGGAGGTGTACGGCACGCTCCCGGAGCCGACAAATGGAGTGACCGGCTGCTATGCGACGTGTGTAGCTAAACTCCGAAGCTACCTGGCGCCGCAGCGCAACGTCATCGCTGATCGACTCGCGTTTCAGCGGTTGCGCATGGTGGAAGGCGAGCTGTTTGACGCGTTCCTGTCCCGTCTGCGCCTCGCGGCAGCTCGGTGCCAGTTTCCGCCCGAGCAGGCCAGCGCGGCCCTGCGGGACCAGGCCATCGCGGGCTGCACGCCTCGCCTGCAAGAGCGAGTGCTGCAGCGGGCCGTGGAGGCGCAGGAGCCGCTCAGCCTCCAAGACGTCGTCAACATAGTCCACAATGTGGAGCGGACCGACCGCCTGCTCCGTGAGGTGCGGCAGGACGGCCAGCTGGCCGTACCTCAGGAGGAGCAGCAGGTGCAGGCGCTCGGACAACCCAGCCGAGGGGAACAGCGCTGTTTCCAGTGTGGCGAGCTGGGCCACTGGAGGGACCACTGTCCCAGCGCGCAGTCGCAGCAGGCCGGCGCACGGCCCCGGCAGGCTGGTGCGCGGCCACGGCGGGCCGGCGCGCCGCGCTGCTACCGGTGTGGAGAGCGCGGACACCTGCAACGGGACTGCAGCAAACGACGGGCTGTCAAGTTGATCCAGGACAGCGACCAGGCCGACTGGCAGGTCTGCGCCGTGCATCTGGAGGCAGGAGCGGCGCAGAAGAGCGGATTCTTCCGACAGCCCGGCTCAGCAAACGGCGGTCGGCTGGACAGCCGACGCGGCGGACCGCGCCGGAGGGGCGGAACGCGCCGGTGCTTCAGGTGCGGCGACTCAGGGCACTTGAAGCGTGACTGCCCCGGATGCGGTCAGGTGACGTCTGTGGACGCCGTGACGTCCGTGGCGCAGCGGAGGACACAGCGTCAGGACCGGCTGCCACTGGTCACGGTGACAGTCAACGGCCGGCCAACAGAGATGATGGCAGACACCGGGTCGCCAGTCTCGATCGTGGCGGACGGCAGCATCCCGGGGCTGAAGCTGCGACCATCAACGGTGCAGCTGCGCTCGTTTACGGGCCAGACGGTGCCGGTCCGCGGCGAGGCGACCGTAGAGGCGGAGTTCGGCGGCCAGCGGAGGCGGCTGAATGTCGTAGTCAGCGACCGACTCGGACACCAACCGCTGATAGGACGGGACTGGTTGCGCGACATGCGCCTCGACTGGCGGTCGCTGCTTCAGGGCAGCGAGGACCGTGAAGTGAGCGGCGCCGACGGAGTCAGAGGGCGCCGTGACACTAAAGGAGCCGGTGGGCGTCGGGATGTTGATGCTGCAGGAGCCGGCGGGCGCCAGGACGCCGATGGAGCCGGCGGACGCCGGGATGCCGATGGAGCCGGTGGGCGCCGGGGCGCCGGCGGAGGGAGCGGACACGGGTACGTCGGCGGAGGCGGCGGTGCCGGGCGGCCCGTCGGAGACGCTCGTGCCAGAAGTTTCGGTGGCGGAGACGGGATCGGCAGTGTCAGAGCGGCGACCGTCGGTGACGTCCGACGAGCAGGGTTCAGCGACGAGTACACCGGCGGCGGCGCCGAACGGCCCGTTGGCGATGATCGCGCTGATGGCCGCGGTGACGGCGGCCGCGCCGGCAGTGCCAGTGACCTCATCGGAGGGTGCACCAGTGGCGTTGACCTCAGTGGAGGTCGTGTCGGTGCCGGTGACAGCGGAGGTGACCTCAGTGGTGCACTCGGTGACGGCGGCGGCGGCGACGTCAGCCACGCCGATAACCTCGGTGACGGTCAGGCCGGTGACCCCAGCGGGGGCGACGGTCAGGCGAGTGACCTGGGAGGAGCCGGCTGCGCCGGTGGCCTCAGTGGTGCCCTGGGTGACCGCGGTGGCGGCGGCGCTAGCGACGCCGGTGACCCCGGCGGCGGCGGCGGCTGCGCCGGTGAGCTCAGTGCAGTGGGGCCTTTTGAACGTGAGCGCGGCGTGCACACTGGGCGCTCCGCAGTGCCGTTCCGCCCGGCGTCGGAGGCGCCCGAGGCGGCTTATCGGCGTCTGATCGCCGATATTTGAAATGTGATTGGATCTGTGATTGTGATTGTGATTGTGATTGAAAGGTGATTGTTTCACGTAAAGGGGTGAGGTAACCCTGAAGGCGCGCGCCTAAACAAATGATGCTTTTGTGCTCATGCCATTGTTTCGTGCGCCTGGGAATATGTTCGTTTAAAGGGCGGCAGGGTGTGGTATCGCGAATTGTCCCCCTCCGCCCGGGAGCTGGCGACGCCACTGGCGGCGCCGGCACGCAGACGCGGCGGCTCGAGAGAGTCGGTCTGGCGCGCGTGTCGGGTGCGGTCGTGAGCCGTGTGCGCGGTGTGCGGTGGTCGTCGCGTCGCGGTCAGCACAGACTAGTGTTCGTGTATGAGCCCAGATTGCCTCAGCAATAAACTTGTCTCCACGAGCCAGCCTGTGTGAGGCAGTGCGGAGTGGAGACGTAACAGCAACAACAAACAATATTAATGCAACTACAACAGACACTACACATGCAGCCACAACTGACACTACGCATCCAGACACTATACATTCAGCTACAACAGACACTTCTTATCTAGGCACTACACATGCAGCCGCAACAGACACTACACATGCAGCCACAACAGGTACTGCACATGAAGTTACAACAGGCACTACACATGTAGCCGCAACAGACACTACACATGCAGCAATAACAAGCATTACACACGCAGCCACAACAGACACTATGCATGTAGTAACAACAGACACTACACATGCAGCTATAGCAGACACTACTCATGCAGTCACAACAGACACTACACATGCTTCCACAACAGGCATTGCCCATGCAGCAACAACAGAGACTACCAATACAATCACAACAGACACTACGCATGCAGCAACAACAGACACTACGCATGCAGCAACAACAGACACTGCCCATACAGTCACAACAGACACTACACATGCATCCACAGCAGATACTCCGCATGAAGCAGCAACGGTCACTACACATGTAGCAACAACAGACACTAAACATGCAGCAACACCAGACACTACACATGCTGCCACAACAGACACTACACATGCAGCCAAAACAGATACTACACATGCAGCCACAACAGACACTACACATGCACCCACAACAGACAGTACATACGCACATACAACAGACATTATCCATTCAGCAACAACAGACACTACCTATACAGTCACAACAGACAGTACGCATGCAGCATCAACAGGCACTACCCATAAAATCACAACAAACACTACACATGTAGCCACAACAGACACTACACAGGCATCCACAACAGACACTACCCATGAAGCAGCAACAGACACTACACATGCAGCCACAACATTCTTTACACATGTAGCTACAACAGACACTACCTATGCAGACACAACAGACATTTCACATGCAGCCATAACAGACACCACACACGCGCCCACAGCAGATACTTCATATGCAGCAGCGAAACACACTATACAGGCAGGCACAACAGACACTACTCATGCAGCGAAAACAGACACTACACATGTACCCACAACATACACTACAGATGCACCCACAACAGGCACTACACATGCAGCCACAACAGATCCTACCCATGAAGCAACAACAGCCACTACACCCGTAGCTACAACAGACAATACACGTGCTGCCACAACAGACACTACACATAGAGCCACAACAGACATTACACATGCAGCCACAACAGACATTACACATGCAGCCACAACAGACGCTACACACGCACCTACAACAGACATAACCCATTCAGCAACAACAGACACTACCCACACAGTCACAACAGACACTACACATGTAGACACAATAGACATTTCACATGCAGCCACAACACACACCACACAAGCACCCACAGCAGACACTACATATACAGCAACGAAAAACACTACACAGGCAGTCACAACAGACACTACTCATGAAGCAAAAACAGACACCACACATACACCCACAACAGCCACTACAAATGCACCCACAACAGACACCACACATGCACCCACAACAGGCACTTCTCATGCAGCAACAACAAAAGCTTCACATGCACCCACAACAGACACTTCACATACAGCAACGACAGACACTACACAAGCAGCTACAAAAGACATTACTCATGCAGCAACGACAGACACCACCCATACACCCACAACAGACACCACCCACGCAGTCACAACAGACACTACACATGCAGCAACAACAGATACTACGCATCCAGACACTACGCTTGCAGCCACAACAGACACTACACATGCAGCAACAATAGACACTACACATTCACAAGAGATCACCTCAGGAAGTATCTCGCTGGTGAGCACGACCTCCGGGACGACAGAATCGTTCTACACCGTCTCACCTATGAGCTCTACGTCAGAACGGACAACAACTCCGCCGGATGAGTTCAGTGAGTCGCTTACATTGCTAATCACGTTTAACGGTTATGTCGTTTTTCATGGTCATTTAATTATTTGACATCCATATACATAAGTATAAGTAGTTAGTAGCCTTTTCATAAAGAGATAAACCCATCATTCCCAGTCATTCTTTGGATCTATCCATTCTTTATCGACTTCATCCTCTCGTTTACTCTATAACTGTCTTCCCGCTTTCCTCTTCCGTCCATTTTCATAACGTTTTGTCTTACTTCTGGGTTTCCTTCTTATCGTTCTACTCTTGGTTCACTTCTCCCCACCCTATGGAATGCGCCTTTCGCTCACCCGTGGCGTGTATGATCGTATCAAGATTTAATAATGGCGTGTTCTTCCACGGTGAAAGCAGCTGTCAATTGCTTTTTATTGCTAATTGTTATTAGTTTTCTTCGGACGGCTGGTGAACTGACAGAGAGCTGCGGACCTTTTCAGCCTGCAGGTGGGACAATATGACTGCGAGCAGCAGTGGAATCATGCTGCGGGACCCGTCACGCTGTCTGCACGTAGAGTGCTGGCACACCATGTACGGCGCCTTCATCGACGTCACAATCGTCCATGAAGCAAGGGGATGTGAGTATTTGCCTGACGCAGGATCCGTCCCCGACAATACATCCGAACCTACTTTCTGTTGCAGAAATTCCGTCAGATATTTTGTTATTAGTTCATAACATAGTTGATTCGACAAATGAAACTTCTTTGTGTAATATTGCAATCCATCACGGTGCTGCAGTGCCCACTGCCCAACCTTCAAAGTGTTTTCGTTTGTTATAGGTTGCGAGCTACAAAATAACGAAATGGTGCCAACTGGATACGTCACAAGCACAAAAGGAGGCAGAAAGAAGCGCTGTATCTTCGGCAAATGGCACACTCAATATCTCGATGCTGCAAAAGGTGGGTACCTCATCTTCCTAAAGGAAAACAATAAACACTTATAACCAATGACCATGCAATATGCATTCATTGTGAACTTTTTTCCAGGCTGCTGCTTTATCTCGTGACCCGGTACGTCACTCTCAGTCCATGTCCCACCCATGTCGTGAGTCTAATAACTCATTACGAAAAGATCCCATCTGGATGTGAGCCGCCACTATTACGTTACTTCTGCTTCTCAGGCATGAATGCGAGCCAGGCGTTATCATTCAAGAACAAGACATACCACTTCTTCCCGAGGATGACTCCGATCGATGAGGCCTTGGAAATATGCGAGAAGATCAACGGCACACTGGCGGTGCCGGACAGCCGCGAGCAGGAGCTCGAGCTGGGGGAGCTGGGAGCCGAGGGCTTTGGTGAGGACGCGCCACATTAGCGTTACACGTGCTGCTAATGCCTGCGTAACATTTTAAATAAAGTATGACACTATGACAAAGCATTTTAAATACTCAAATGCCATTCTGGATTGTATGCCACGAGTGACCAGTAATCATAATTAGTTTTCGTGAATTGTTGTAGAACGATATCTACGCGTACTTTTCTCATTGCGACTTATCCTTCGTCTCTATGCACCACTATTCGCAAGCAATTTTAATTTATGTATTCACACCGTTTGATTTGAATATAAATCATAATTAAAATAGATGGTCAAGTTCGCTTCATTTCCAACTTGATGCAAATTTATGTCTAATGCCTTGTAATATTTTTGTGACCTTTACAGGTGGACAAGCAACGTTTTACGTTAACCAGGACAAGATTCAACAGCATGTTCTGAACCTAGATGACCAAGGGGGTCAACATAACTACATCGTATACCGTAAGGAACTGAACTTCTCAGTGCGTCAATGCATCAGTAATGGCTGCTTTAAACTTGGCAGCAACATTTTCCTCAGAACATGATAGAGGTTTTATAAATGTCAATCATATCGTAGATATGAAGCGGGCGATATGCAACATATCATTGTGCTTTCGGGACTTCTCCATTGAATGACAGCATGATGTTTCCTTTCAGCACACGATACAAGGAAAATGATGCAAATAAATTTGAACAAGCCAGAAAGTGACTACGCTATCCGATCATCTGATGAGGACATAGAACGACTAAGTGTGCCAATATGCGAGGATGGCGGTGCAGACGAAACTATTCCAGAATACTTTACCAATCTGGTGAGCATCGGAACTCTCAGCGAACAAGGCTTACCCAAGGAGGCTGCCTACTGGGCCATGCGTCATGACAAGGACGCCAAAACGCTGGCCAGAATGCAGGAATGGCGTCTGCCACCGGTGCCGCGTAAATTCCAAGAAGGACATACCAACATCGGCAAGGAACTTAGTCGCTGGGGGCCAGGGGTGTCGATTTTTCAAAATGGTTGGGGGTGCTCAACCCCTGCACCGGGTGACAGATTGCAGCTTTGCCATGCGGCACAACCGTACAAAGCGTGGTTGGTTATCCCCATAAGGTACTGATAATGCCGGGATTTCTATATACTAACATTTCCCAAGGGCAGAACGTTCTTCTTGAAAATCATTCTGCTCGTCCTAGTACTTGGCTACCTGATTACATAAACATCTTTCCGAAAAAAAATTGCCGGAAGCATGGCAGCAGCCCCGACACCTCTGTAATAAGGTGACAGAAACCAATGACGGTGATTAGCACCGGTGCAGCAGCCGCTGCGGTCCGCAGGGGCGGACATTGCGCGGAGGCAACGGTGGCTACGAGGCTCTGGCGGTAATTAGACGATCCCAATATCGATGAAAAATGACAGGTGATCGCATTTGGATATTTACGGGTTTACGATTTTCCCCAGTGGCGTAGCCAGGTGGGCCGTGAGGCACGTGCCCCCCCCCCCCCATCAGGTTCGGGCCTCAGGGTCTCCTCGGGTTATTCGGGCCTGAGGGGCCCTGAGGCGCCAATTGGCCGCTAAGGGTCAATGCTGGCCATATTTGGACATAGAAGGGATCCACGGGGCTCGTAAAAACCCCTCATGGGCCCAGTGGCGGATCCCGGGGGGGGGGTGCAAAATGGGCATTTGCCCCCCCCCCCCCAAACGGCATGATTTTAACATTACGCCTATGGACGATGCATGGAAAGAATCGATAAATTTTTATGGTTTGTCCCCCCCAAACCTCTGAGCTGGATCCGCCTCTGCATGGGCCCACAAGTACCAACACTAAGATCTCCACAAGGGCCCCAAGCCAGTCTCTGAGGGCCACTTGGCGGCCTCTGAGGGCCCCTTACCGGCTTCGGAGGGCCACATGTCGGACTATGGGGGTCTTAACCGGCCTATTCTCAGCCAGCAAATTTAGTCCTGGCCGTAGCTGGTCTTACTCTGGCTAGCTCCGGCATTTGCTCCGGCTAAAGTACGGGCAAGGTCTGGGGCTCTACTGTAGCTGACACACGATACCGGAGCTCGCCCGCATCACAGCCGGACTTATGCCGCATCAGCCGTGCCGTACCTCCACCGTACTTCAGCCACAGTAAGCCAGAGCAGCTATGAGGCAGCCGAACTGGTCGTAAGGGAGCCGGACTTGAGCCATGGCAGGGAGTCTGACTTGAGCCAGACTTGGCGGTTCGGAACCATAACAACCCGGGAGCGCTACGGCATATACTGGCTAGCCGGAATAGAGCCGTATCGACCCAAACCCCGGATCTGACGGCGATACCCTCGTCAGTTACCAGCGACCCTGACGGTCCCACACAGGTGACTCGGAGGGTCACAGCGGCGTCTGAGAGCACCATGTCCGGTCTCTGAGAACCCCACAAGGCTCCTGAAGGTACCGGTGACCTCCTGATATCTTCTTGTCGGCCTATGAAGGGTCCGTTCCGTAACAGCAGTTCTGAGGGCCACACGCGCGCCTGTGATGGCCCTAAACCAGTGTCTCTGAGAGCCCCCACAACGGCGCCTGTGAGGGCCATCACCGGCAACTGTGGAGCACCTACACCGGCGCCTCCGAGGGCCATACATTGCCATATCTGAGGGCCCCGCACTAGTGCCTCTTAAGGCCCTATATCGGCGGCTCTGAGGGCCCAACACCGTCGCTTCTGAAGGCCCCACAAGCAGGGATGCGGAGCCGGAGCCGGAGCTGGAGCCGGAGCCGCCGGAGCCGGTATATTTTGCCCGGAGCCGGAGCCGGAGCCGGAGCCGTGAAACAACACAGCCCGGAGCCGGAGCCGGAGCCGTCAAAAAAGGGGCGTCTCCGGCTCCGAGGAAAAAAAAAATATTGACCTTACTCGGTTTGACAGTACAAAGCAGTAAAACATGTGGTATTCCAAATATCCTTGTTATGCAAATACAGAAACAACGTGTGCCAATCCAATCGCCTTTTTTCTTCCACCCGTAGGTATTTAATTGATCGCATAGGGAATGTACTGAGTAGGAGCCGGAGCCGGAGCCAGAGCCGCCGGAGCCGGACCATTTTACTCGGAGCCGGAGCCGGAGCCGGAGCCGTATTGACATTTCACCCGGAGCCGGAGCCGATTTTTTCTCCGGAGCCGGAGCCGGAGCCGTCTGAAATTTCCACGGCTCCGCATCCCTGCCCACAAGTGCACATATGACGGCCACCCACCGGAGACATTTGAAGGCCCCGCACCGGCGACTCTGAGGGCCCTATCGGCGTCTGAGTCCGTGCCGGTCTCTAAAGACGACCCCACAGGGTTTCTGAAGGTACCACCGGCATCTGATGGCCCTTTGCCGGCCTCTGAGGGCCCGTCGCCGGTATTTGGAGCCCCCTGCCGGCTTGTAAAGGGTACGCGTTATCAGCTCTAAAGGTCAGACACTCGTGTACGACGGACCCACACCAGTGTCTCCGCAGTCTGCAACTTAACGTCTTTTTTCGCCCTTCTTCTTAAGACTAACTTTTCTTTTCTTTTCATTTTTATTTCATGCATTGTAAATTGCGTAATTGTTTTATTTTTAGTAGTGAAAGACTGCGGAACCAATTATTTTCCTCAAGCAGAGTTAGTGGGAGTTATTGAGGGACAAAATAATTGGGGGTGCTGACTGGAACATTTGGGGGTGCCCGGAAAACCATTGGGGGTGCTCATTTGAGCATTGGGGGTGCTGCAGCACCCCCAAAAGTATACAAATCGACACCCATGCTGGGGGCAAATTCATCGGGATATCGCTAAAGCCTTCAAGCAAAGGAAAGCTTTTAGAGATCCCCTTCCCATTTACAAAGCAAATTATTTTAACGTAAAATGATTTGATGTTGCAATGATTCTTGCCCTTTATGAACACGACGTGCATGTTGAAATGCCGGAAGGCCTATCCATCGCTGCTCCTGTACAAAACGTCATTAGTCATTTGTCGTCGGACATACATAAAACTTTTACTCAGTCGCAACTCATGTTTCTATTACTATTTTGATCATATTCTACTTTCGATGTTTGTAATGAAGGGTGATGATGCGAAATTATGGAAGATGCAATAATGACACGATCTTTTCACTCGTTAGGTAGGGTAGGTACATTTATACATAACAAGAAACACGCGAATGGGGTAAAATACGGGTATGAGTTGAGACAATGGGACGCGGAGCAAATTGATGTGATGATCAGGGTAGCAGGATGCGAAATCAAAGGCACCATTATTGGATATCAGAGTAGGGCTGCGGGAGTTGTTTTGGTTAGGAAACGTGGCACCTAATTACGGAGCGAGCGAAGCGAGCGTAGTCTTTCCTTAGATTAACGGAAATTTCTGAGTATGAGCGGCCGGCCGTGCGGACGCTTTTGCGAGGCTTATATCTCAGCAACTACTTGACCGATTTACATGCGGTAATTTTTGTAGGGTAGCTTCATTCCTTCCACCAAGTATTGGACTATTCCCAATGCATGTGGGTGACCCCTTATGCACATGCCACGTGCAAAACGAAGAGGTGTCAGCTTTGTAATTGTTGCAATATCTCGGTAACTACTTGACCGATTGTGCTCAAAGTTGGCATGTAGGTAGGCACCCACTAGGCAATGCATAACCATGTGCCAGAGTTGGGGTGCTGCTGCACGTGCGCACGTGCAGGGGTCGTTTCCAGATCTCGAGAACGGCTGGACCGATGGCGCTCAAATTTGGTACACGGTTAGGGACTAGTTAGAAGGGTGCCGTGCAAAAGTCAGATGGGACCCATTTTGCACGTGCGCACGTGCAGGGTGCCGCTTCCAGATCTCGAGAACGGCTGGGCCGATTGTGCTCAAATTTGGCACATCGCTAGAGACCGGTTAGTAAGGTGCCGTGCACAAGTCAGTTGGAGGTATCCCCTCGAAATTTTGCACGTGCAAGACCCACCCTCTCGCTCGCTCCGTTAGTCGCCCCAAAAGGCGTTATACTGGTGTTAAGACGTTACTCTGATACATGGAGCCGTATAAATCGGCTTATGTTCATCATGCAAAGGGAATTGAATGCAAGCGAAAAGAACCTGTCACATACACGATTTGACTTCATATATTTGTGCAAATTTATCACCGAACAACTATTTTGTAACAGTGAGTGCACGATATTGTCCATACACAAAAGAATGATTCACAGCAAAGCAGCAATTTTCGTAAACAAGCCTGGGTCATGTAGAAAAGAGGCGTTGTCAATCATTCATCTTTTGTAAGTACATGTATTCTGCTTTCATACGTTTTTCATGCAGAAAATCACTACGTTTCCATGACACGTCTTAATCGATTTAGCGAAATTTCACGTGCGTTTTTCTCGGAAACTATTTAGGTACCTTATGCAAAAAATGAGCGTATATATGGTTTTAGCTAGCACCTAATCCTATATTTACATTTTTAAATTATGCCTAAATGCTATGATGGAGCAAATCCATTTTTCAAAATCGGCTTAGCTTGTGTCATGGAAACGTAGCCATTAGGCGTATGTACGTGCACATGCAAGGATATTCACGAGAGAGATTAAGTCGATCCAATAATGCCTAAATGTAATCGTTACCAAACGTAACATTAGACATCATATCTACACTCATTTCGTTACGTCTACCTACCTACACATCACCTGGCCAATGAGCAAATGAACACCCGTCGGGTAAACCTTTATGACAACGTTGTGTATGCTCGTGCTTTCTAACTAGTGGGAAAGAACATTTTTTCTTACTTTTTAAGTGTCTAAAGAGTAGAATACAGGCGATGGAGTTCAGGATATTTGGATGCAGCTTCATTTGCTAGCATTTAGCTTTACATCCGCACATCCAAGTTCATTTCGTAAATTAATCAACTCAGCAGTAAGTTATCGAAGAGTAGCTCTGGAGAATGACAAGCAATTTGTCTCTAAGACTATTGACGCACTTCAACCGCAACTCAAATGTCTGTTCATTTCAAAAGCGAGTGCATCAGCGAAGCTTAGATGCAATGTCCCTCAGGAGAGCTCGGAGGGCAGCTCTAAACTGGCCACTGAAGAGCAGCAGTAGTGGGGTATTCAGCGAGGTCTGCACCAGGAACAGCAGGATGAGACAGAAGCTGAGCACCTGGTGCTGCAGTGGCGTCTGGTAGCAGGCGCGCCGGTCAAACAGCAGCGACATGGCCAGCACCGTCGGCAGAAAGGCCAGCATGAACACCATCAGGTGCAGCAGCAGCGTCACCGAAGTCAT